CCCAACATTGGGTTGAAACAACCCAGCATTTTTTAGAGTGTATGCTACACAGTTCTGTTGATTCTGATTGGTCTATCGTATCATTCAGTGTTTTTAATGACCACTAGTCACTTTGTTATAATATAATAATTTGAACTCAAATGGGTATGTTATATAGCCTACCATTCAAATGTTTGGGATTGGTGGGATTTTCTAAATGTTTTTTGAAAGAAGTCTCTTTAATGCTCACCAATAATACATTTATTTGATCAAAAATACAGTAAAAACAGTAATATTGTGAATATTATTAATAATTTAATATGTTTTCTATTTTCGTGTTTTTTAAAATGTAATTTATTCCTGTGATGGCAAAGCTGAATTCTCAGCAGTCATTACTCATTACTCCGGTCTTCAGTGTCACACACGAAAATTCAGAAATCATTCTAATATGCTGATTTGGTTCTCAAGAAACATGTCTATTTATTATCAATGTTGAATAATGTCCCTTATGTGCATATACTGTAGAGCTAACAAACAGCAGGCCAGTGCAAAAATACAGATAAAATGCCTTTGCAATCCTAATCTGAATATGTAATTTTTATGACTGTAGAAACACGAAAGCAAACTGATGTTTTATTAAAACACCATCCCACGTCTATATACTATCTCCACCCACATTACTCTGAAGTGAAGAGAGCAAACAGTTTGGTCAGAGAGCAACATTTCAATTCAAATAGGAATCAATAAGATGTGTTAAAGGCATATGTTTACATGTATGCCTCTTCAAAGACATCAGAGGGTCACTTTCTGAGATAACAGCATCACATTGCCCTAGAGAAGGTGCCGCATGCCCATGCGGATGTTAGTCAAATGTGATTTCGGGCTCTTGAAATGGCACTTCAACATGCACAGGGTCTTTGTTCTGTATTCTAAACTCTATATTGATCTCTCTCTTCTGTGTTCAGAGAATGTCTGGCACAAATCTGCAAGGGTTGGAATTTTATTTCCTACAGATCTGAATCAATACATTATTAATTATCAAGGTGGCACATGCAGTGGAGAGTGAACACCTACTAAACGTTGGGCTTGGAGACTCACTGTAGCTGAAGTAACTGAATTTCATCTGTGTGCACAATAAAGTGCAAATGTCAAATATATATATATATTTGACATTTGCACTTTATTGTGCACACATTATATATAGTTACTCTTTTTGAAGCAAGCTGGTGAAATAAATGAAAAAGTCTATATCTGTATTATTTGCTTTGTGTTATTTCTTGTTGTTTTTTTACACTGACAAAGAACTATGGAAGAGGTACTGTTGTTCAGTCATGGTATCAGACAGTAAAATATGGTACTTCAAAGAGGAGCATGACACATGTCCAAGAAAACATAATATTGTTATGGAACCACACCCACATGGTAACACCATGGTACTTTTTCTAAATGCATTTAGTATTAATCTTATTACACTGTTTTTAAAGGGCGAACTAAACTGAATATATTCTGCTCGAATAATTAAATGATTGCCATTTATTTTAATAATTCATGTATTTATTTTATTTTATTAAATGATTGTAAATATATATATATATATATATATATATACAGTACATTGTAATATAAAATTATTATAAAAGTTATATATGGTATTAATATAAACAAGAATTTTCACTATACCTCCAAAAATGTATTGGTTAACAAAATCACTATAACGCTGCCACACTCAGACTTTTTTGCCACTAGCTCATCCAGCTATAGACTAGCATACAGGACTTCTATCTTGGAAATATAAAGTTTTAATTAGAAGAGAGAAACTTTTTTTAATGAGCTCAAGAGCATGAGAAATCTTAACAACATACCATTGTGAAAGGTGAGAAATTTAAATTTGGCAGTTTAGTGACACCGTTTATCTTACCTTAATTTGTTTCTTTGTCTGCATCTGTCCACCACATTCCTTTAATCCTTTCTGAATGCAATGTTGGTATCCTCAGTTTGCATGTTTAAGGTACAAAACACTTGATTAATTGAGATTTTCACAGTATGGTTAAATGCATTTGTGTTCATTAGTCTGTATGGATGATGTGTTTGGTTAATTTGTAATAGAACTTCTAGACACCTTGTCAGTAGTCACTAGATCACTGGTGAGGAATAAAAATACAGACAGCATCTGAGAATCTCATTTGAAGGTTTTTTTTTTTTTTTTTTTTGAAAGAAGGCTGCATTTATTTGATAAAAAAACAGTAATATTATGAAATTTCATTACAATTTAAAATAACAGTTTTCTATTTTAATATATTTAAAAATGTAATTTGTTTCATAATTGTCAGCAATTTTCAACAGCTATGTCACATGATCCTTCAGAAATCATTCTGATATGCTGATTTTGTGCTTAAGAAACATTTGATGATTATTATTAATGTTGAAAACAGATGCTTATTTATTTATTTTTTTGGAGACTGTGGTAGTCTTTTTCAGGAGTCTTAGATGAAATGTCAGTTCAAAAGAATTTAGTTGAAAATAAAATAAAAGAAAATCAAGTAATTTAAGAGTATTGAATATAATAACGTCTTTTTTAGCCTATTGCAAATCATACAGTTGAGCAGAATGTGGTGTTAAGAAGTTATTACTTTTATTTAGCAGGGATGCATTATATTGATCAAAAGTGACAGTAAAAACATTTTTTGATGTTACAGAATTTAGTTCAAATAAATGCTGTTCTTCTAAACTTTCTATTCATCAAAGAATCCTGAAAACGTATCACAGTTTTCACATTAAAACATTAAGCAGCACAGTTTTTTTTTACATTAATAATAATAAAAAAATACGTCTTAAACAGCAAATCAGCATATTAGAATGATTTTTGAAAAATCATGTGACACTGAATACTGGAGTAATGATGCGGAAAATTCAATTGCCATCACAGAAATAAATTACATTTTAAAATCAATTTAAAAGTTATCCTAAAGTGTAAAAATATTTCACAATATTACAGTTTTTACTGTATTTTTGGTCAAATAAATTAAGCCTTGGTGAGCACAAGAGACTTTTACAAGCCCAAACTTTTGAACAGTAGTGTATAAATAAAAGGCATATCATGCAGTGATGATTGTATTCAGTTGAATTTGCATTATCAAGTATATTAAGCTTAGATACAAAAACAAAAGTTTGTTTGAGATCATCTTAGTAATGCTATTGATAAAATATGGACAATAAAATGTGTGTAAACATGTGACCCCCTATCAGTGGAGTTATGTTAATGCAGTTGCTTGGCAATGAAAGTCTACGTACATACTATATACATTATAATTCAAATAATTTAATTATAATTATGCATTTTTTAACATATACAGTATTGCTATTGCCACAATTAAATCAACTTCTGTTTTTTTCTATGTTAAATTATGTGTAATGTCTTGGTCGTTGGAGCAATTAATGTTATTTTAGTTGTTCTTCATTGATATTCTGTGTAAACAATGTGAGCTCAACCAATAATAAGACCTGCTATTTAGTCTGAAAAGTTTCCTTCAAGTGCCATCGTTACAGCTAGCTATGTGTTAACTGTGCTCCCATGAAAAGCCTCTGCTGAGTGGAAGTGAACCATGCTGTGGAGGACTCTGTCAAAACATGTCATCACGTAAGGCAGAGTTGCAAATTTAAGTCAGTGAGCGAAAAGTCCTCAGCACAATCTCTGCTGTCTGCAAGGAAAGCTTCACATTGTGGGCAGAATGGATGCAGTGTGCTGAAAAGGTAACAGGCGGCTTCACATTTGCCGAGCATATCATTTATCGTCCCTCAGTGGCGGTGATGCAGAGAAGGACTATTTTCAAATCAGAGCAGACGAAGAAAGAGTTAAGGTGAAAATTGCATGTCTTTTAGTGTCCATACCATGTGCAGTTCAGCTGTGAATACATTTCCACATTAATGCCCAAGGAATTGTCATGTCACATATTTTCTGTCCATAAATGAGGCTGACTGGATTGGTGACTGAAGTGTAGAATGACTTACCGTGTAAGCAATATTTATTAAAATTTTTTAAGTAAACATCAATAACTGCAAATGTGCTGTTGTATTAAAGATGTGTTTGATTGTGTGTCCTCGCAGGAGTGAGCTGTGTGGACGAGTATGATGAGATGGCAGCTGTGTCAGAGTGTCTCCAGTGGGCCGGGCCGATGCCGTCACGCTTCAGGAGCTGCTGGGTGCCATGCAGGGATGACTGCACCTTCAGTTCCTGGTCTATATTCTCTGAATGCTCTGGCTGTGGAAGCCGACGTACCCGCAAACGCACACTAACAGGTGAGATCCACTGAGAGAACTCAAAGGTGATTCACAAAGTTGTGAATATGTAACATTTATTATGATAGCTCCACACCTTATGTGCTAATTACAAGCTGTGTAACTCCTGGTTGATTCAAGAGGCTGTAACTTTAGCTTTATCTAGACTGAGTTCTCTTTTGCAGCTTGTTTTGCTTGAACGGTTGCTTGGTGAGAATTTATATAAACAGAATCGGTTATATCCTAAGTAAGTGTAAACTGTTGGGAAAAAAAATAGATATATTTGAACCGTGCATTGGATCTTAAAGTGACAGCAGCCTAATATTCCTGCTGCAAACATAACTGAATTGTAATATGTATTTCTTTGTCATTAAATGAAATTACTTGTGTCATGAAAAGATTTTGGTCAAATTACCCACCCCTATTATGGAGAACTAAACAAATAAACATTTTACAAACAAATGTCAAAAAGTGTACTTAGAAACATGTACATAGACATTTTCTGATGAGACATTTTCCAATTACACTTATACCATATTTATACTTTCACTATTTGTGAATTATTGTATTTATTATTCCCATATTTATTTATTTATTTATTTCCTCTATATTTTTTACACACTTGTTTCATTTATATTTTATGGATGTTGAAATAAATGTTTGTATAAATAAAAAACGTATGTAGAAAATAATGTAGAAAAAAATAAATACAATAATACATGAATAAGGAAGTAAAACTATAAATGTAGAAATTTATAGTATAAATTAGAATTATAGTATAGAGTAATTTTAGCTCAAATCAGTCCCACACCATACTCACACCACTGGTTGAGCTGACAACTGACATGTCAAACTGTTCAGTCAAAACGTTTCCAGTAAACTGGTTGTACAGTGCTAAAGATTTGATTCTGTTTATTTTTTCATAAATATACTGAAGAAGAAACAAGTTCTTTAAAGGTCCCATGACATGCTGCTTTTTGGATGCTTTTATATAGGCCTAAGTGGTCCCTAGTACTGTATCTGAAGTCTCTTTCCCGAAATTCAGCCTTGGTGCAGAATTTCAGCCACTACGAGCCAGTCCCACAATGAGCTTTCCTTAGGACGTGCCATTTCTGTGTCTGTAGCTTTAAATGCTAATGAGGAGGAGAGAGGCGGGGCAACTGCCATGCTTCGCTCGTTTGCAAGCCATGATGTCTCTCGAGGAAAAAAAAATATTGCGCTCGCCTCGCACGGTAGTAGCTCATTTTCTCATGGGCGGGCCAAATTCTCTGGGCGGGCAACGCAGAGAAAGGGGAGGTAACCTTTCCCCGTATGACGACATAAAGGGAAGATTCCAGATTGGGCCATCTGAGCTTTCATTTTCTCAAAGGCAAAGCAGGATACCCAGGGCTCGGTTTATACCTATCGCCATTTCTAGCCACTGGGGGACCATAGGCAGGCTAGGGGAACTCATATTAATGTTAAAAAACCTCATAAAGTGAAATTTTCATGCCATGGGACCTTTAAATAATCATGTAAGTACTGTTATTGTCAGACTTTTGGACCCATTTTGCCCCCGTAGTTCTTCCTGTGTTTCCTTATTTGGTCATGTTCCTTTTCTCGTTTAGTTTGATTTAGATTCCTTGCACCTGTGTTAAGTAATTATCCCTTGTATTTAAGTTCCTGTTTGTTCAGTCTTCCTTTGTCGGGTCTACTCATTGCTATCTTGTTGTGTTCGTTCATCTCCTATGTTGGATTATCCTGGTGTTTTGTCATTAAAGACTGTTTGAGCTATTTCATGCCTCCTGCGTGCTACCTGCATAGACACATCGTGACAGTTATATGTGTGTCTATGTGCTCTGGCATGTTTTATCAAATAGATGTCACTTCCCTCACGAAATATATGAACAAGGTTAATTATATTCATTCCTTACAGTCAGTAGGGTGTTTGTTTAGTGTTGAGAATGGAAAAGTCACCCAACAAAACAAATAGTGTGACAGTGAATAAACGAAATCCCTATACCGTAGCAAGTCGATAAGCTTGTTTATGTCCTGATAAGGTCGGGTACAAATTAGTGGCATATTTTTTAAATCTTTTGAGAGCAAGTGCCAAGATGTACAATGGCTCACAATTGTATTATCACTTGAGGAATATCATTTTAACAAAGGGAGTAAGCTGACAGACAAGTCAGCTTTAGTATATTCCTTAGCTGAGCATAATCAACTAAAGCTCGAAAAAATGGTCTTGGAAAAGAAAGGCATTTAAAGTGAACTTTGTGTTCAGTGCTCCAGTCATTACCGTTGAGAAGAATTGACTAATTATTTCATTAACGATCCTCCTCTTCTTTACTTTTCCTTTTTACTGCACCTACCCAACATATTTTGACAGTCCTGTCTATCATAAGAGATCAGAGACCTGCTGTGAACTGCTCTACAGGCAGATTTGGAGCTGTCTTTTAGGGAATTACTGCAGTGCTTTCTCCTTTAGTTAGTTTGTTCGCATAAAAATCATGATTGGCTCTCATTAAGATCCAGCACATCTCACAATGTGACGTATTCACTGCAGTGTCAGATCAACTTTCAAAGGCTTTCTTCACCTCATACTTTTAGGAAATCCCACATCAAAGGCGATCACACGCTAAAATGTCAGATTTCAACCTAGAAATTCAAGAGCATCAAAAAAAAAAAGAAAAGAAATGAAGCCTGAAAATTGCAAACTAAGTTTGTGCTTCTTGCTTAATTGAATGCACAATATCCAGCAGGCAGGGCCGTCGCTAGTGGGGTGAAAGGTGGTGATTATTATAGGGACCCATGGCTGTGAAGTTCAAGGATTTTACATTTGATTATTCGGTTTCTGTACACTCTAAAAAATGCTGTTTTGTTTCAACCCAACTTTGGGTCAAATATGGACTAACCCAACCATTGAGTTAAATTTTTATATAAAAATTTTAACCCAAAAGTTGGGTTCCCCTTCAGGAACTCGAGCTGCGTCGGAAAACGCTTTGGGAGCGCCTTCAGCGTGGCCACGCTTTGAATCACATGTAAAATCAGTCCAATGGAAGGGCGAGACGTCACAGGCGGGTGACGCAGAGACCAGGAAGCTATAAAAGCACATGCGGTGGAACCGGCGTCAGCTTTCTGTCATTCAGCAAGCGCTCTGTCCGTGTGACAGTCGCTATTTATTGTGAGTCTTATTTAGTGTTGTTTGTCCACTTATAAGCTCCATTATGTCAAAGCTTCAGCCAAGAAGAAGCATTTGGGTGGGGAGCGGTCATGAGTGGCCGCTCGGCCCACGTCTGTGGAGTGGTCGCCATCTCACGTGGCACATCAACTGCCTGGAGATGCTGGCCGTGTTTCTAGCATTGAAACACTTCCTCCCGGACCTAAGAGATCGCCATATGTTGGTGCGCACCGGCAACACAGCGGTGGTCTCTTATATCAACCACCAGGGAGGTCTGCATCCGCGCCCCCTTTACAGGCTGCCGCACCAGATCCTTATGTGGTCCCAGGGGAAACTCCTCTCACTGAGAGTAGTTCACATTCCTGGGCATCTCAATATGGGAGCAAACATCCTGTCAAGGCAGGGGCCGAGGCCCGGGGAATGGAGACTTCACCCCGAGGTGGTGAAGCAGATATAGAGAGTTTTTGGCCACACTCAGGTGGACCTGTTTATGACTCAAGAGACATCGCACTGTCCCCTCTGGTTCTCTCTGACTCATCCAGCTCCACTGGGGCTGGATGCCATGGTACAGACGTGGTCGAGGCTTCGTCTGTACGCCTTTCCTGGACGCTATGGTACAGACGTGGCCGATGCGAACGAGTAGCCCCGTTCTGGCCAGTCCGAGTATGGTTCTCAGACCTGAATTCCCTTCTCGACTGCTCTCCATGGGAGATTTCCGTCAGGAGGGATCTCCTCTCACAGGCGGAGGGTACGATCTTTCACCCCTGCCCTGGGCTGTGGAAGCCGTGGGTGTGGCCTCTGAGGGGGCACAACTCGTAGCTTCCAGTCTCTCAACCGAGGTTTTTGAGACCATCCTCCAATCCAGAGCTCCCTCTATGAGGAAACTGTATGCCCTGAAGTGGAAGTTTCACTTCTTGGTACAGTGCTGGAGTTCCTGCAGGCCCGATTCTCTGCAGGGTTGACCCACTCCACCTTCAAAACCTACGTGGCAGCTGTTGCGGCCTACCAATTGTGACTCGCCCCTATCAGTGGCCAGTCAGTGGGCAGACACCCCCTAGTTACACGTTTCCTCCACGGTGCGCTGAGGGTAGAGAAGCTTATGCTAAGCGGTGGATCAGGATGCTATTCCATAGCCTCGAGTCCTCTGATCTCCCCTCTCCTTTGGGGGTCAAAATTCACTCCTCCAGAAGTTGGCCTTCGGGATGGCGGGCCCCGCCTACTTCTGTTCTCTCGCCCTAGCTGTGCAGTCTTCCACACTAGGCAGAGATTTGGAAGTCTGGCGGTGTGGGCATTCTCGTTCCCCTAGCGTTTTCCGACGCAGTGTGTGTGTGTGTGTTTTATGTACATATGCACAAACTCTCATGAATGCAGTGAAAGCAGAGAGCAGATTGTCAGTGAGGCTGCAGTGTACTGACAGAGATTTCACACTGTTAGAGCTGTTTTCTATCACTGACCGCCTCTGTACACCAAAAACAGATGGCGGCTGGCAAACACTTCTCAGGAAGCTTCTGGACACCAGTGAGAGTGTGAGTTTCTCTTTGCCTCTACTTCTGTCACTGTGTCCATCTCAGTCACTCTCTCTCTATATATACTGTATGTTGAGGCCTGCTGTGAGACAGAGGCCAGGCACACACTCCAGCTAAATTCGGTTGCCAGTTCACCTTTTACTCCTTAATCGCGTTCTGTACACACATAATTCACTAAAATATGAGAGTGACAACCGCAATCGACAACCGCATTAACTCCCGAAAAATGCAGGTAGTGACAACCGCATTTACAGAAATTCTATGCAGTGTGTACGGAACCAAACTGAAAAACTAGTTGTTAATGATGATGTCACGAGAAGCACGCCAATGTCCGTGAATTGTCAGGCGTCAAGTGTTTACCTCGGATCTGACAGGATGGTGGAGAGAGGTGTATTGTGGACCGAGCAGTTGCGGTCAAGAGAGTGTAGGCTGTTAAAAAAAAACAGTTTAAAAACCAAAGCTAGATTACGATGTCTCTGATACCACACTGATTCATTCAGAAATAAAACAAGTGACTGTTTTTTTGAGTGAGTCATTCAATTATTTGTTCAACCGATTCATTCATAAACAGGATTTATTCTATACATATTGATTCAGGTTCAGCTCTGTTGTGCGTTGCTGCAGGGACCCTCAAGCGGTAGTGGATGAAGTACACATATCAAGTACTTGAATAAAAGTGCAGATACCCCAATAAAATATTACTCCAGTAGAAGTTTTAAGTACTCTAACAGTACAAATGTATTGGATTTTTAATGTACTTAAGTATTAAAAGTAAAAAGTACTGATCGATCAATGTGTAGTTAGTAATTTTAACTTTTATGTTGTGTGGGAAGTGTGAAAAGTCTGATATTATGCTTTGGAATGTAGTGAAGAAAAAAAGTTTCTCAAAATGAAAATACTCAGACAAAGTACTGTAAGGTCTCTGTCTTGTGAAACAGGCCCCCATAAGCTGTGGATTCACCACGTGAATATCATGAGGTATCTATACCAATCACCCCGAGCACATGACTTAATTAATTCCCTTACAAATTTAAGTAATCAAGTTATTACAGTACAGATACTTCAAAAATGTACTTCAGTACAGTGAAGTAAAACTACTGTGTTACTGTCCACCACTGCAGTCAACAGTTCTACTTTGGCTTTATTTGGAACTGTTTTCAATGGCAATATTGTGTCTAAAATGTAATTCTGCTCATTAATAAAGGGGGAATTCACTACAGGCAAACTTGGCTATGCAGTATTTTTTTTTTTTTTTTTTTTTTTTAAATCAGTGCTATGTAGGGAA